TCGATATCATATTTAATGCATTTTAAATGTTAGTGGTATGTGTAATATACAGTCATGGTCAACACTCGACACTAAAATAAATAGAGTTTAACCCGTTCTTGTTCTATAATATTGTTTAGTATTGGGTGCACCTTACCAAATATATGTAAGGGATACAAATATTAAATGATATATGTGGTTATTTGATAGAAAGACTTATAGAAACCCGTGTTAGAAGCCCTCAATATCATTTGGTTTTGAGCTATGGGTACCGAGTGGATTGTTTTTATAAAGAGTAATACTAAGTAACCCCACTGGGGTTGTAATCCCAATCTATGTGACTCTAAATGATATGCTAAATAAAAGGTGAAATTAAATGACTTATTTAATTTCATATATTATTTAATGTCACATTAACGCCACCTAAACTGAGGTTGTAACCCCAGTAAGACTAAATAGCATTACTCTTTCATAAATCTTTAATCCTTAGAAATTGAATTGACTAAACATGTATGGCTTGGAATATGACAAAAGAAAGAGATTTATTTATATGTGATAGAATATTTCAAATTGATACGAGACCTTTTGAGTGAAAGTCCGAGAAAAAAATCGTGCGAACAAAGCCCCTATTTGATAACCGTTCTTTTCAAATTCTTTTTTTTTTTTTCACTCTCATTTTCAACCACATATTCAACAATTAAAATATTCTGCAAGTAAACCCAAAAATTTTTCCTACATTTTTTCAAATTCTTTTTTTTTCACTCATTTTCAACCACATATTCAACCATTAAAATATTCTGCACGTAAATAGACTTGAATGTTACATAGCTACCCTCAAACAACATGCTCATAATGTCTACTTCTATACCTAGAAGCAAACTTTTTGTGCTTAATGATCCATGTTTCATGTCATAACTTGAGTGTTCGCCAACTTTGCTTGTCAAACATGTTTTAGGCCAATGAACACTTCGATAGTGATTGGCACATTCTCATTAATAAATTTTGACATGTGACGTGTCCCACTTTAACATAAATTTACAATTAATTTGCCTTTTTTCCCTTCTTTGTTGTTAATATTTGTTTTAGAACTAATTACCATTTGAAACGTCCGTAATTTTTTCCTTTTTTTTTATATTATATTCTAAGGATCTCAACGTAAAACATTAAAAGTAATTTGCACGGACCAGTGTGGCGTTCCACCGTCCAGAAGGAGCCAAGTCTGCATTAGCTCATGATTCAAAATAAATTAAGCTGACCAATTCAAAAAAATTCTGGCTTCTTCTTATGATTTTAATAATTTGAAGTCAAAAACAAGTATATTAATAAAAAAGTAAAGATGGGCTCCACGATTAATTATAATAAATCAAGATGGTTGGCTGCAAACGTGCATCCAAATATCCATATGCATAATTAGTTTATTATTTGTCCCCTTAACTTAGCGAGATTATCACCAAGCTAGAATCAGAAATGGGCAGCCCCCAGGGCATATCTCCAAGTGGTAAAAGGGGAAGGTGGAAAACTCCAACTTTGTTTGAGGCTGCCGCGTCAAGGATTCGAATCCTGAAATATGGATTTGGCCCTTTGGTAAGTACAAGTGTACAAGTAACCTTCCACCCTGTACCCTTAGAGGCATAACCTGCGATTTACCTCTTTCACCAAAGCTCAGGGCAGAACAGGTGGGGGCCGCTAAAGATGCGGTTCATCCTTTTTTTTAGAATCAGAAATGGGCTTATCTAGACTAATTGAATAGTTGATGGATTATGATGAGAATAACTTTCGATATTTTTTCATGAATACACGAATAGCATCATTCAAACAATATTAAGAAAGAAAAAGAAACTAAAAATGCACGGCTTCACCATACAGCTATATACCAAAAATATCTGTCTGTGTTTTGGCTTCCCAAGGCAAATACCTATCTAAAATTTAAACCCAATAAAACTCACTCATTTGTTACACTAGACTACGAGGCATCCAAGACAGGAACATCCACACAATAGCTGCTAATTCTATTCCATCCCATATACATCATGTCATGTCACATCGTCCACCAGCAATATTCATATTTCACGTCATGTTGTCCACCAGCGATGTTCATATAACTTAACCATGAAAAAAGATAAAGAACAGTGATGAAGATAGAATTATACGACCAATGGAGAAAAAATACACAATGCATGCATCACCAGTTACTCCACAAAAGGAAAGATTAGCTCTGAATTACCTCTCAGGTATTCCCTCTCGTAGTTCCCTACGCCACCAACAATGTGTTCAATTGCCTACTAAAAAGATCTGCAAGTGCTCCACGTACATCCATCTGGAATATAGGACAACAACTTATGAGAAATCAAGATTGTCTTGAAAGATTTAACTGTCAATACTCAATAACACTTCTTATCAACTTAGCTTGTTGCTTGACAAGAACAGAAAAATTACTTACTATTCTTTTTGGATAGAGTAAATTGTAATGGTTATAAACAGTCATTCTGGGAGCGGAGTTTACCAAATCAACTATGCATGTTGCTTGACAAGAACAGATAAATTACTTACTATTCTTTTTGGATAGAGTAAATTGTAATGGTTATAATTAGTCATTCTGGTAGCGGAGTTTACCTGGTCGCAGCAGACAAGTTTTGTAATAAATGGATAGAAATCTCTCAGGTGATTTCGAAATATTTGGGAGTTCATATCACACATGCCTTTAAGCACCTGATAGACCATGAAGTATTCTTATAAGTTGCAACATAAATCACAATATCAAGATCATATAAAATGTTTGCTGAAAAGCATAAATAAACCCTCGCACATTGTATTTACATTTTCAACAAGTACTTGAGTTTCTGCCAATATACTTCCTACTCCTAAGAACGAGGAAAACATCACATTAAAATTTTTTAAACCTAGGATCTTCATGCAGTCACTAAAAAAAAGATAAAGCCTGGCACTGTTGTCCTTTAATACATAACAGAGCAACACCTTCACTTCATTTCTTTATATTCCTTTCTAGAAATTCCTTCCATAGCTTATCACCTTCAGTCTACGTCCAAAGTCCCGAGTCAATTCCCCACACCTGTGATGAATACCCACTGAATACTGTTTTTGACAATATTAAAACTAGTTATTTTATTCAAAATCAAAAATATTTGATATCTTGTTTAACTAAGCAATCGGAACTTTTGACATACATCTTCCAACTAAGGAGCAACTTGCAAGAGCCTACAATGATCAAAAGCAGCCATCAGACTTCTCAGAAAATAGCATGTCCAAAAACAAAATGCAATCTGCATTGTTCATCTTCTCGTCTAGCATCATGCCAGTAATTCCCTTGTAGTCTCCCCATTTCTCTATTAATACATGTGAACGCACAGGTCTGGTATGAAACAGGACAAGAAAAGGACAATATCAACATATTAACTAGTTATGAGCTCCACTTATAGGTTCTGAGAAACTGATATCAATCACTATTTGTGCTAGTTTGTTGAAACATTGAGTCGACCGTCCTCAACTGGCTTAACGCAGATACTCTTCAAGCCTGTGTTCGTCTAACATTATTAGTAACTTAAAAGTTACTTCTACTACCCAATCAAAAATCAAACTTTAATTTCAACCACACATTCAAATTACTACTCATTATTATCCGCACGTTTCTTGGCCCCCACCGCTATTCCTCCTAAAAAGTTACTATCAATCCCGACCAAAGGCCAGATGAACTTTTCTTTTCCTTTTTCCATAATAGAGGATAGCCGGCATGCTGTATAATGGTATCCACTTGCAACTAAAGGGGAACTTTTGCAATACGCCAAATTGCAGGTGTACAAAGAAGGGGAAAATGCAACATTTCATATATTTCATACCTTGACAATAATCGGAGATCGTAGTTCTAGAACTCGATGAATATCCATATTAGTTGTACCTTCCGTGCTAGATTGGAAATCAGATGCCTCCCTCAGAACCTGTTCGCAAAAAGACACAATCTTTTCTTCAGCTACTCCTTGAAGTTTATCTTCTTTGACATGTTCCTCTTTTTGATTATTAACTGTTGCTGTTGTCTTGTGTAAGATATCCAGATAGATGCATGTTCCAGCTAACTCCTGGCGAAGAAGATTCGGTGGTGGTCTGTCCAGCAAAAACTCGATCATCACAAAGAGGCATGTGGCTTGGAAGTAACAAACTCAAAATCAAGGGGAAAAAAAAGGGATTATAAATTACAAATATTCCGGCCAACCTTTCAGCGGGAATTTGGTGCATCCGCAATCTGAGGTTAGTATACGAGTTGTACGAGGAGGCAAACTCTAAGACGGAGAACAAAATGTCCATTATGGTGATCTTCTGTGATGCATTCAATTTATTCCAGTATTTCTTCTGCAAGTTAGAAACATATCAATGAAAATATTTTATCTAGACTTCCAAGATAGCAAAATGCAATCATAATGTACTCTTGAAACCAATCATACTGAGAATTTTCTGATTCCAAGTTCAATTTGTGGCATTTTATTCAATCTTAAAAGTTATATTTTTAAAGACAGACTATATTTCACTAAATATTGAACTTGACACGATTAATGGGAATGCTGATGTGAAAAATGGGTAAGAGAGAAAGGTAAACATATCATAGTTTTGTGCAGAAATTGAGACATAACCAACAAAGATCAACTTTAAAATGCTGAAAAGATAGAAAAGATAACTGTAGAAATTAATGGAAGAAATAATTTTATTCTTTCTTGAATAATTCTTACAACTTTAAGCCACTATATATAGTACAATACAATGGAGAAGAAAAAGGAAAATAATATTCTAACTAAAGAAAGAAAAGATATTTCCTAATTTAAGTCCAATTATACCATATACTAAATATACAAGCATCCCATAATTGATTCGGGATTTCTACACTCCCCATCAAGTTGGATCGTAGATAGTGATCATATCCAACTTGCAGATGAAATCATCGAATATTTGTCTTCGTAGCCCTCACATACATCAGCAGTCTGTTCTTTGGTAGGGTAGGGACGTAGATAGTGCAGATAGTCCCATTTTTAACTTTCTACTTGATGAAGTGTCAGTCCACTTCTACATGTTTAGTTCTATCATGTTGAACTAGGCTGAGTGAGATGTTGATAGCTGCTTTGTTATCACAATAGAGTTTAATTGGAACTTTCATTGAAATTTGTAGCTCATCCAAGAGTTTTTTTAGCCATAGATTTTCACATATTCCTTGAGCAGCTGCTCTAAACTCTGCTTCCGCACTACTTCTGGCTGCTACATTTTGTTTCTTACTCCTCCAAGTTACTAAATTTCCCCATACAAAAGTACAATAGCCAGTGGTCGATCTCCTATCTTCTGTTGATCCTGTCCAATCAGCATCACTAAATATTTCTCTCTTTTTTCATTTTTCTTAAACAATAGTCCTTTCCCATGGGAGCCTTTGAGGTATCTCAGAATCCTAAATGCTGCTTCTAGATGAGTTTCCCTTGGAGCATGTATGTGTTGGCTTACCACACTTACCGCAAAAGCAATGTCCGGTCTAGTGTAGGATAAGTAGATTAGTTTTCCAACTAAACGTTGAAATCTGTCTTTTTCAACGAATTCTCCGATATCTTCTGTTTTTCTTCCCGTATCTATAGAAGTGTCACTTGGTTTACACCCAAGCACACCAGTTTCAGTTAGAAGGTCTAGAACATATTTTCGTTGTGAAATACTGATCCCCTTCTTCGATTTGGCCACTTCCATTCCTAGAAAATATCACATTTGTTCCATGTCTTTTACATCAAATTCTGTAGCTAATCCTCTTTTTAGTCCTTCTCTCTTGACTGTGTTATCTCCTGTGAGAATAAGGTTGTCAACATATACAATCAGAATAGTCTTTGTCCCGCCTTCAAATAATCTGAAAAACATAGTGTGATCTGATTGTCCTTGTTGGTATCCCTATTTTTTTAACACATCTGCAAACCTGTCAAACCATGCCCTAGGTGACTGTTTGAGGCTGTACAGAGACTTTTTCAATTTGCATACTTTATTTCCTTCATTTTTTCTTAGAAAATCCAGGTGATAACATCATGTAGACTTCTTCCAACTCTACATATTCAGAAATGCATTCTTAATATCAATCCTTTATTTCCGTCATTCTCCTTAGAAAATCCAGGTGGTAGCATCATATAGACTTCTTCTTCCAATTTCCCAGTAATGAATGCATTCTTAATATCAAGTTGTTGGAGTGACCAATCCAAATTTACTGCCAGTGATAGAAGAACTCAAATTGTATTCAATTTTGCAACCGTTGCGAATGTTTATGTGTAATCTATGTCATATGTTTGAGTGTACCCATTTGCAACTAGCCGAGCTTTGTACCGCTCTATTATTTTGTCTGCTTCATATTTCACATTAAACACCCATTTGCACCCAACTGATTTATTTCCTCTTGATAGTTCCATCACCTCCCAAGTTTCATTGGTCTCCAGGGCTTTCATTTCATCCATTACTGCTTTTCTCAACTCGAGAATTTCCAAAGCTTCTTGAATGTTTTTCGAAATTTCTGTGCTATCAAGGTTAGAAACGAAAGTTTGAAATCCTGAAGATAAAGCATTATAAGCAACAAATTGTGAAATAGGGTGAAGAGTACATGATCGAAGTTGTTTCCTGAGAGCAATAGATAGATCAGCGTCGGATGATTTTGGAGAAATTTCATGAAGATTTGGAGCTATCACCGGTTCCAACTCTCTTGGTGCTTCAAATGTGAGTTTTTCCTTATCCTTTGATTTTGGCTTTCGTGAGTAAACGATCATCTCTTTGTCACATTGTTCTTTCTGCTCTTCCTCTGAGTTGAAGTTCTCTTCTGTAGATAGCATATTGGGGTAGGGTGTCGTTGTAGGTTCAGTATTTGGACTAGATTCAGTGTTTGAAATAGACTCAGAGGGATTAAGAGATATTTCTAAGAACCGATCTTCACTTAAGTTCTCTCCCTGAAGAGAGGATTGTTTGAAGTAGGGTTCGTTTTCAAAGAGAGTGACATTAAGACTGACAAATATCTTTTTTGTGATTGGATCATAGCATTTATACCCCTTTTGTGTAGGTGAGTATCCAACGAATACACAATTAATTGCACGAGGTTCAAGTTTGTTTCAATGGTAGGAATGTATGTGGACAAAGGCCGTACATCCAAACACTTTTAGTAATAGGTTTGAGGTGAGCTGAGTATTAGGAAAGAATTTTTGGAATTTCTGGAGAGGAGTTTCAAAGTTGAGAGTGCGACTCGGCATTCTGTTTATGAGGTAGGTTGATGTCAAGATGGCATCACCCCAAAAGGTTGTGTGTATTTGTAGTAACCATCAACGCCCGAGCTACCTCAAGGAGGTGCCTGTTTTTTCGTTTTGTAACGCCATTTTGCTGGGGAGTATCAACACAAGAACTTTGATGGATTATTCCATTTTCTCAGAGGTAAGTGCCCAATGTATTATTGAAGTATTTTGTGCCATTATCTGTACGCAGAATTTGAATTTTTGTCTGAAATTAGGTTTGGACCATTGAATGGAAGTTTATGAACACAGTACGATAGTCATCGATAAATGTGATAAACCATTTTGTGTTGGTGCGATTAGGGATTCGTGAGGGTCCCCATAGATCACTATGTATTATAGTGAATGGTTTAGATGGTTTGTACGCCGATTTTTGAAATGATGAACGATGATGCTCTGCGAGTTCACAAATTTCACAATTAAGGTCAAAAGATGTTTTATTCGAAAATATTGAAGTAAATGTCTTAGATATTGAAAATTGGGATGACACATTCTATAATGTCATAACAGAACTTCACTATCTTTAGGGACAAAAACAGAATCACAACTAGCAAATCGACGTTATTTACTCACATTAGTCTCATCAAAGTAATAGTCCCTCACACTTTTTAGCACTGCCAATCGTCGCCTCTAACGATAGGTCCTGAAAGACACGGTAAGAAGGAAAAAAGTTAGCGGAGCAATTTGAACTTTTTGTTAATTGGCTAATGGACAGTAGGTTGCAGGATAGATTTGGGACATGTAAAACGTGTTCGAGTGTAATTAAATTAGATATTCGAATACTCCATTCCCAGCCACTGAAGAGAGAGTCATCTGCAATTTTGACTTTAAGATTACCAGCACAAGGTGAGTATGAACTAAATAGATGGTGAGTCTGTCATATGATCGGATGCACTAGAATCAATAATCCATGGTACTTTTGAGAATGAGGTGGTGTTAAAAGCTCTCAGGAAATTACCTCTGTAGGTTAAGGAACTTGACGAGCTGGGTGATTGAAAATTAGAAAGCATTTTGTAGAGTTGTTTTAGTTGCTTGCGATTAAATGCACTGCTTGAAGTGGAACTTTGTATTTCAGAGGAATTGATTGCAGCTTGGTAGCCGTGATCTCTAGTGTTTTGTCTTCGTTTCCAGTTGGGTGGCTTTCCATGCAAATCCCAACATGTATCTTCTATATGTCCAGGTTTCCGACAGTGGTCACACCATAGACGACCCGTTTGTTGTCTTGGGTTGGATCCAATTTTTTTTGTTCCTCTAAGCATTTGGGCTCCCAAATCAAGCCCAATAAATTTGGGTCCATCATATATTATTTTTTTTAAATTTTGGCAGCATCTCCTTTAGGCCCAATTTCATATGACCCAAAAGCTGCTCCTTTAGGCCTACCAGAGTTGGATAAGAGGGTCGATCCATCTACACTTCCATCAGGCCCATTTATCTCCCTTAGCAATCACTTCAGCAAAAACGTCCCTGGTGGACGACAGAGGCCGACGACTGAGAATCCGACCTCTCACATCGTCGAGTTCTCTGTTCAACCTAGCCAGGAATTCATAAACTCGTTCATTATCCACCCTTTTTCTTGTATCGAACACTGTCACTAGGGCAATCCCACTGTTCATCGATGCTAAGGTCCACTTCTTGCCATAAAGTAGTCATCTCCATATAGTATTCAGTGATATCCCTTTCTCCTTGCTTCGCATTCCATAATTTTGTCTTAATTTCAAAAATTTTGAGATGCATATTCCGCGTCGGAGTACATCTCTCGAACAGCATCCCATATGTCCTTCGCGATTGCCATGAAGAGGTAAATTTTTCCAATTAACGGCTTCATCTAGTTGACGAGCCATGACATCACCATGGAGTTTTCAGATTTTCATTTTTGTTGAAGTGTCGAATCCGTAGGCTGCTTAGTGTCGCCGGTAAGGTACCCAATTTTTCCTTTCCCGTCGACTACTAGCTTAATTGAGTAATTTCTACCATTGAGTTTCTCCACCGTGAGTTGAAAGGAGGAATTATCAATTCCAATTGAATTCATGATGGGGATAGTTTCGGTCTCGCTGGTTCCGATTTCAGAGGAGGCTGTGTTTTCTGCCATAGCCGGGTTTGAATTCACCCATGCTCTGATACCATGTAGAAATTAATGGAAGAAATAATTTTATTCTTTCTTGAATAATTCTTACAACTTTAAGCCACCGCCCATGTTTGAGCCCCATTTTGGAGGAAAAAATGCATTTTAAAATAGTGATTTTGGGAGAATGTGTGATTAAAAAAGAAGAAATTTTTTTTAATCTACATGTAAAATTATTTTATTAAAAAATGTGCATCTGAAAATAAATTTTGAAAAAATGAGGCTCAAACAAGCCCACTATATATAGTACAATACAATGGAGAAGAAAAAGGAAAATAATATTCTAACTAAAGAAAGAAAAGATATTTCCTAATTTAAGTCTAATTATACCATATACTAAATATACAATCATCCCATAATTGATTCGGGATTTCTACAATAACATAAATGTTCTCATAAATGAAATTGATTTGAAGATTATATTGCAGAAGAAACTGATTCAACCTGAATGCTATCAATGGCACCTAAAAGTAATAACTGCGTGATGCATTTGCTCCTAATTGTTCCCAGTATTGGACTCTCATCCTCGTCTCTGGCATCAGGTTCTTTAGTATCAGGTAACTAGAGAAGGAAAAAAAAGGTCAAATTCAGTTTTCAAACATGGAAAGGAAAAAAGGAAAAAAAAAGGATTAATTAGAACATAATGCAGCCTAATGAAGCATTTCTAATACCAATACAATATAAAAATTGTGGTATAATTGGTTGCTGGAATAAATATCTTTTCAGAATGAAGGAAACGATAGCAACCATCGTTCTTAAATACAAGAGAATGAGCAAAAAAAAAGCAACAGATCGTGCATTTTTTAAACTGATACACGCTACCCACACAGATCATCTTTTTTCTTAGGTAGGGGCTCTGGAAACTTACTCGTGTGTAATATTGACGTACTTGAGAGATTTTATCCATACAGAACCTCCAAGGGTTTCAGAACACTGGGCAAGTTAACTATCTCATTCATTTAAAGTTTCTACATTAGAAGACAAGTTTGCATTAAATTCCTAGCAATATTAGAATTCTTTTATAACTTTCTAACTGCAATCTTCCATTATACGAAGTACTTAGAGGTGTATAATTTTGTCCCATGATTTGGGTCGAAAGGGAACTTGGTCCATCTCAGGACTTGGTCTAAATGGCCTACTTTTAACTTACTTTGTTACGTAGACAGCTTCAGACTACTTTGTTAGGAGAATGGCTTCTTAATATTTCTCATTTACATTTTCAGCTCCCAAAATTCAATTCCTACTGTCAGCAATGCCACAGAACTTCGGAATCACTTTCAGTACCTTTCCCCTGTGAATAAATGCCAACTCCTTTGAGGAAATAGTAATCACCAGTTCAACAACTTCAAAAAAATGTAATTAGCTAACAAAACCTTTTGGGTTGGTAGGACAGAGAGGTAAAGTAAATTAGAGTAGAGGTCCCTCCCTTCTGAAAAAAGGGATAACATCGTCTCGAATCTTCTTTCTTTACATGAGCATCACAAGGTTCAACACATCCCCAGTTTTTGCTTTTCATTTCCATTTTACTACTACAGTTCACATGTACCAATTATTACATTTTTGTCCTCTTTCAAAGACACTTTTGTTCTGCAAGGGCAAAACAGAGCACTGTGTTAACAGTGAAAAAATTGGGAGTCTGGATTCTTCCTTAAAATTTAACTTGTGAGTCAGAAATGTTCTCAATGACCAACCAAAGAGCAACGAGAAAGCTTTCACATATATTAACACATCAAAGAAAAAAATGATTCAGTGACACAATTAAAACAATCAAACATTACAAAACATATCAACAAAATAAAAACTAATTACCAACCTTGGATGGAGAAGTTGGTCACAGAAAATCAGAGGTACGGTTCTTTGGTTTTGAGGTAAAACTTCTCACAAAAATATTGTCCATCACATTTCCCATAATTTTTTGACCTATTGTTTGACTGCGTTGTAGGCCTCCACCATCAGTAGGTTTTGTAGCTCTTCCAGAAGGCGACGGCGTGCCTACAAAAATAGATTTATTTTTTGATGTTGCATTAACTTTTGTTTTTTATTTCAACTCTTGAATAATTTACTTTAAGTGCATGTTTGGTACATGGTACTAGGTAGGACTAGACAGTATAGCAAACACCTAGTACAGTCTAATCCTGCGCACCAAACATGTCATTAAATATCCAAGCAATGATTGCATAAGAGTCCATTGCCAACCTTCAGATCCCTCCATATCAGCTCGAAGCCCCATTTTTTGATTATGATCCAGTGCATTGCCATCAGTACTCGCATTTGGCGACATCACTCCCACTGTATCCCCGTTTTCATATACGTTATTATGATGATTATCTGACGCGTTACTGCCACCAGATACTGAAGGATTAAGACCAGAAGTGGCATCTGGAACTCTTGTGAATACTTTATGATGCTTTGAATTGTCAAAACCCAAATCATTGAGCAGCTCAAGGGGCTGTGTTGTGTATAAAGCATCTCTGGACAAAATGAACCAAATTATTAAAATACAAAAACATGAAATAGTAAGGCATATAAGCGCCTTAAAGTTATCAAAACCAAAAAGAAGAAGGAACATGCACCTTATGCTATTTAACAAAGTATCCCAGTCATTATCGCTAAACTGATGTCCTCCAACTTCAATAAGATGCACCAATGCACCCAAAGATATGGAAACAACTGATTGATCTGTTTTCTTGGCGCAATCTAACAGCAAACTAAGCAGTGGAGGCAGCATAAAACACACATCCTATATATAATGAGAAATAAATGATCAGTACGATTTGTCAGGAATCATGATATATGTGGCAGTAGAGTCGGCAAAAAAGATTTCCAAAGTAATGAAAATAACATGAATTGTTCACAAGAGAAAACAGAAAATAGATAACTTGGCAGTAATTATAGCAGCACATTTCACCACGACTAGATGATTCTCTGAAAGGCTAAAGCAAGTATTGTACTTGGTATAGGAATAGGAAGTTCTAGAACTCCATTTGGATAAGGCCATAGGGGCTATATAAGAAATACAAATAAACACTGTGTCAACCACTACTTTTATAAATAGGCAGAAACATATTAATATATTTAAAGGAGTTGAATAAACAAAAATGTTCTTCTGCCCACAGTGGGAAGTTTTATCTTGCCTGCTTGGAGAGAATCTTACTTATGGTTCTCACATTTGAAGAGAACCGTAAGTAAGGTTCTCCTTCCACATACCAAGTGAGCAGGGTAACTGTGGGTGCCCACCGTGGTAGGAGAACAATTTCGGTTCAAGGAATGAGAGACATTGACTAAAGAATATTGTTAGGTGGGTTATACCTATGACCAAAATATCACTAGGAAGGACATTTCTTCAAGGGTTAGTTAGAGGACAAAAAGATATGTGATTTATAAGCACATTAAAGTTCAACGAACAAAATATAATACAGTGAGCCAACAACTAAGTAGCACAAACAAACAGTAAGTGACTGTATAACCAGGAAAGATGAAACAGCAATACCCACTGCATGCATAGAGAATTAGAGTTGCGAATAGGGGAAATACACAGTGCACTTGAAGGATTAGGGAAGAAGCTACAAATGATTAAGATCAACCGCTTATGATACCTTGTAAAAAGTGTTGAAAAGGTTGCATAACAACTGGAGCGAATGAACACTACTTTCCCGAAGCCACTCATCACCAGAAGAGATAACATTATCTTTTCCTGCATGTCTAACGTGATCGAAGATGGGAAACAGGATCCGCTGGAAAATATTTTCCCAAAATGAAGAGGAGAATTTGGCACCTCTCTCATTTAGCAAATCAAACAACACCTCAAGTGCACAGTTTCTGACTTCTGCTCTCGGATCAGAAGTCAGGTCAGAGAGACCAGCCAGCATCGGGAACCAATAGTGCTCAGTAACATCACAAGTTTCATCTGCACGAGTGTCAATTGGTTTCAGAGCACCACCTGGTACAAGGCCCTGCAAATGAAAAAATTAACAAAACAGTCATTGCCTGCATGCTTACTAGAGACTTTTCGAATAAAAGGAATCACCAGATTAATCCAAGCATCTTCCAACACGAAATAAAGAAGTAAAGAGTATTGAAAACAAGTATGGTAACACAATGTTCTATAAACTCTTGAAAACAAATGAAGGCCCAGTATAGCAGACACATTATCTCCTAGAAAGGCTTGCCACCGTGTGCCTTGTCTATAAGCTACCTCCAACAGTCCAGGAATTTTTTCTGTTATGCATTATTTTCCTACTTCATTTTATTTTTGTCATTTGTCATTTCTCTCTCTCTCTCTCTCTCTCTCTTTTTTTTTTTATGAGGACATAGGAAGTACGAACAACTTGTCAATTGATCGCATTAGACTGCAAATAATTGTCCTCTATTTATGATTATCCAACTAGTATTGAACATGCTCTCTCTGGAAGGCTGGGCCTGGGATAAATAAAGTTCGGAGAAGGTCAGAAACCAACTGACGAGATGAACAAACCTCCTTATTACTCAAAACAAAGAGAAACTAGCCAATGAAATAGAACTTCAATTAAATATACCCACTAGAATTTATAAAAAAAAAACCTGAAACATTTTTAGGAACAAAAGCTCAGTCAAATGTCAATTCATATAAGAATCATTATAACTCTTTTGGTCATTTTCTGGGACGAAAGTCGGAATAACGGAACATCGCAGAGACAGGATACAAGATTGTCTCAAAAATCCGATCTTTTGAGCTCTTCCATTTTCATCCGGCAACATAAATTTTCTGATGTGTCAATAAAATACTAACTAAACGAGTACCCATTGCAGCAAAATCAACTAATTTTCTTAATAAGTACACTTTTTAATCTGTAAAAGAAAACTGAGACCACGAAATGATGGACAAAAAACTGCATATAATGAGTCAAGATCAGTTGTAAAAATGAACGCTCAAAAGTCAAAACGAACCTCTGCAAGACGGTCCTCGCATATGCGGAGGAGTGCAATAGCCTTCAAACTTATCCGGTGAGAACTCTTATTATTGGCAAATCCAATCAGACAATTGACACAATCCATAAAGCAATCTCCAACAACCTGATCAAAGTGTTCCAAGACAACTGCACCCTTCTACCATGTCAGTTCAAGATTTAAACAATCTTCTATAACTATATGAAACATACTTCACAAGAAAGAAACAGAAAAGATGGTTCTGACCCTGTTCTACATTCTCAAATGCACTTTCAACAATTGGTTCCAAGTCATCATCCGCAGCAGCAGTGAAAATCATAAACACACTTCGCCAGCCAGACTTTATGCTTCCAACTTTAGATTTTATCATCTGTTATCCCTAATAGAGTGTATTAACATCCAAAAACACATAAAATAGCAACAAACTGAAATAATATGTTGTCACGCATGCATACTTGAACAATGCAATCCACTATAAGCCTCCGTATAGATTCACTTCGACTGTTTCTCATAAGAACGACAAATGGTTTCAGAATATCATTCTGGAAAGTGAAGTTGGCAAGTTCAGCACGCTCTAAATATTTCATACCAAGTTGTCGTAGTGAATCAATGGCATACATGGCAACTTTTTCATCACGATGACTCCCAGCAGAGATAAAATGATTTGCCAGGACAGACCATATTCGGGCCCAAACCTAAAAAATAGATTTGACTATCTATTAGCATCTAACGTGCATGTAAAATTTATAAAATTTCATCATGTTTCACACACGACAATATATGCATCCTTGTAATTAAGATCAATCATTTATAGTTGAGTAAAATGTTTCACAACTCCCAACAAAATATATGTCCCTTGTCAATATAAAAGACAAAAGGAACTTTTTAGCATACTAGGCCAGTGCATTGCCAAACACTTTGAAAAGGAATTGAAACAACCTACGATGCAATTTGTTACAAGTGATTTGCACTTTGTTGTTATTCAGAATACTTGAATGAATTTTCAACAATGGATGGACAAAAAGTCAATTCAGAAATTTCTATTTGTATGCTGGTGTTTACATGAATCACATCAATGTGGTAGGAAACCCCTGACAAAGTAAACCTGAAAGAAATTATCGTAAGGATTATATTGTATAAAGCATACTATTACCCATGTCAAGAGTCTAATGCCACACTACAAATAAACGAAACAACATGAAATATGAATATATCTTTTCTAAGTAGATCAGCAAGTACTCTTACAGGTACTTTATAGCCATTGGAGCTGACTAAACAATCAAAAGCATTATCCACAGCTCAAAAGACATACATTGTTAAAGACTGCCGTGGGTCAGAAACCAATAGGTCAACCACGTCGTCAAAGCCCAACAGAATTCCATTTTACAATAAACTAAGGTAGAGTAGGAACTTTTTCAGATGAAGAGTTTACCATGCGTATACGAGCCATATTGTAATAGCTAATCTCAACAAGCTTTTGCAAGCTGAACACTCGTGCAGGATTCTGTTTTAGTTCCTCAGCTGAGACGCCACATAAAGCGTTAAAGAACTCCACCACAGATTCACTGGGCAATTTGATGCTATTCACAAAGACTTGTTCAGCTGGTTTTCCAGCCAACTCTCTCAGAGATTGCACGATGGCATCTCTAGATATCTGATTTGATCCTTGCATGACAGTTGCAGCCACAGCAGGCGATGATGTTATATATTCAAGGCGAGAAATGCATTCCAGGACGGCATTCCATGTGTCTTGAAGAGCATCAGTGTCAGTGTCACATAAAGCCAGTAGCGTGCGTAGTGTTTCTACATTCTTACTACGCATATCCCTTGGTGCATGTAAGAAATTAAATCTGCAATGCATCACAAGAATATTTGTCATGCCCAACAAAGCTGTCCATGGTGATGTAAAAACATGTTACCAAATTCCCACAAAAAGTAGTTTATCATCCTGTTCAGACACTGTTTAAGAAAAAATGCATTCTATAATCACCAACAATGATAGAACAAAAAACAATAATAATCAGAGAGGCCAAATAAGGAAACACATATTAGACAATGAACAGCGAAAAAATTACAAAAGGAAAGTGGGATTTACCTGACCAGAGATGTTAAAAATGCATAGCGCATGGTATCCATTCCCAGAGTGTGTGTTATGTGTATACCTGCTCTGAATCCTTCCATACAAAGAATAACCCTTGGTTTGTTATCTCCTTCCTCCATAGTAACAGCAAAAGTAGCAAGCAATGGCCACCCAACAGCTTCGACCATGGGACGGATAAGTTCAATGCGGTGCGAAGTATAAAAAACTCCTCTTTTTCCTCCTTGGTTCCGAAAAATAGCCTGTGTTTGCTTAACAATTGCCTCGCTCTCAGACCTTGAATCAGTTGAAGAATTCCTTTTGGGTAGAGCTAAATTAAGAATACTAACAAGTCGGCTCCTCTCTACTTGTTTATGCTTACTGTTTTTCGAAATACCAACAGCATCGTCTTCCATTTTTATCTCTTCTTTGATAATAGAATCATAGATCTCTTCTAGGAGTTCCTTAGGGGCACATTCTTCAGCATCATCCCTAGTATTGATTCTTACAAATTCACTTTCGGTCATTTTTGGCCACACCATTGGATTATGAGCATCAGTATTCAACATTATAACTGCATATGCAAGAAAATAAGCTGTATCCGCATTCTTGAAAAGACCAGGATTGACTGCACAATAACTGCCAAAAAAGTATTGTTTTGAGTCAGAATTATTAACACCGACATGAGGAAGGGTTAAATCATCTGAATGTTAGAAAATGCAGGACGGCCTTGGTTCATAAGGCACATCCTCTTTTAGTATAGTATCTATATAGAAGTAAATTAAACATACAACAAATAATTCTATAAAAGGGGAAAGAGAGAGAACAAAAAGAATCATGTTTGTTACGTAATTGCTAAATTTTAAGACATTTTTCTCGTCTTACTAGTTAATATTTTTATAAAATACATGCTGCTTGCATAGAATTTTTTATATTGCACATCTAATTATAATTTTTGTAGGTGTAGAAGTACATTAATTTTTCATAACATTACCATGTTCATGACCATATTTTGTAGAGATTTTCCATGTTAATGTGATCATAACATGTACGGTTCTTGTCCAGGTTTTAGTGACCAGAGGGTAAAGCGGCAAAAGCACCTATATTTAACAGCCAATGTCACATATGCCTCTTGCCTTCTATTAAATAAGAGGGACCTGAAGGGGTTTCAACAAAGTCTTCTTCCAAGGTGATTTGTTATGAGTTATGATTATTATTTAGCTCAAGTTGGCAAAAAGATTGATCAAGGCTCAAACTACTTTAGATCAGCCAATCATAAGGCCAGACATCTTCCTTGCAGAAGAAAATTTTCAATTTTTCCAAGGTTTTGCAGTATCTAAAGCTTGAGAAATACCAGGTATCAGCACCATTGTCTTAAATGGTTTTATACGTGGTTTTGTTTTCATTTTCCTGTTTAAGGCTCCTTCAAAAACTGATTTGAGTTTCCATATTTTCTTTTCCTGCTTGAGGATCCTTTGTAAACAAGGTCTGCGTATATCCCTATATACACAAGTTCAGCAACAAAAGATACCTACCGCTCTGCAAACTTCTCCATTATACGATCTATCTTCTGAGCTTCCCCTGGAAGTAGGAATCCTTTAACGAACTCACGAATTGCAACATCAAACTTCATCCCAGAAAAGTTCATGGAATCTACATAAGCACGCATGACAGACAGGGGAAACTCCTCGTGCTGGCCTAAGTAATCACCAATCATTGCCTGGAAAGTTAAATCAGTTAATCGTAGCTCTTTTGATCAAAGAAATTATAAAGGAAAACCAAAACCAAGTCTACCTTGTCCAAATTGGGAGTATTTCTCAGAAAATGAGCAACTGCAGCTGGTGTATTTTCCACCAAACTACTGGACAAAAGATATTCAATGCCCTTCCCTGATTGGCGGTTGAACTGTTGCATAATTGAAAAATAAAGTTTAGAACTCTTACAAACATTGAGTCTACATATTTGAGAGAGAAATAGCAGAAAAATGTGTTTTTCAAGAACGTAGGGCATGTCGACAACAGACTGCACACAGACACGCATACCTCAGAGATAACAGCTTCAATGGTAGATTTATGGGCCTTCAAACTCTCGAAGTTACTTGGGGAATCTTCCCTGATTTTTGATTCACTCAATTCTCTAGTCGAAGGATCTTGAACGGACTGTTCACCTTTATTTTGCTTTTGTGATTCTCTCTGAGAATTTTCCCAATCAACGAGTGATTTTAGCACGTTCACAAGACACTAAATGTCAATAAACAGGTGTCAATCAATCAATTTGAACCAAGGTGAGGTTGAAAAGAAGTTGCAAGAACGACAAGAGTATATCAGCAAATGAACAATACAAAGCCAGGTAGAAGCTACCTGAAGTGAAGATCCTTTAATTGATCCCATCTGAGAAGCAGTAACAGACTTTGGATCCACACTTTGAGTACCCTGAGCAATTTTCGATAATGTGGTAACCTGAACAACAAGGGAGCAGAGAAAGATGACTTGTTAGACATATATTGGGGAACTCCAAGAAAAATAATGTATTCAAAAAGAATCACACCATGCGTTCAAACAAGTTGGGTGCTTCAAGATCACAATCGTAGTTCACAAAGAGATCAACGAGCATCTGAGAATCCTTGCAAACCTTCTCTAACATCCTGCCAGTTTTAGATTAGGTGATGTCAGAAAAAAAATTAGCACGTTAAAGAACAACAGTTTGGCTAACCAAGCATAAACTCTGTATATCATAAGCTAATTAAGCACTCTTTAGTTTCTTTTAAGGGATGGAGATTGAAGATAAGATTCAAAAAACTGAAGATATGAAAAGGTTTTGCGACAACATGAAAACCATTTTAAGAGGAAAATACTGTACCAAAGAACACTTATTTTTTGGCTAAGATCTGTTCCATCCAAAGGTCGCAGGACAATCAAAGGAAAGAAGACTCCAATTTCACCCTGAAAAGAATAACCATAAATTGACAGCCTGGAAAAGAAAATAAAATATTTCAATTCATATAAAAAATGACAACACAAACTTTTCAAAATTTTCTCATACTTTAAGACCTTCTCTAAACAGCAACAAAAGCACTGTGAAAATTCCTGTTGCATACTGCAAACACGTGAAAATAAAAGTTATTGTAAATATAATTGCAAAAAAATTCAGAATAGCGAACATAAAAAAAGCCAAAAGAGAGCATCTGCTAAACCTGAAAGATGCTAGGAGATTGAGAAACCGATGCTCTCAATAATGCATATGAAAGATAAACTTTTGTCAAGTCAACAAACTGGAAGTTCTTTGTGAATGAGTGACTAACACCTTCCAGCAAACCCTGTAAATTTCACATGGTAAATGATGTGTGATGAGTCTACAGCGTGTATAATGTACGAACGCGAGAACGAATATTACATATTAGTACATTCTTTTCAAAACATTCAACATCCACTTAGTTTTCTTCTAACATGTCTTACTAATACAATCTGCACAAGCAGGTGAACGCCATCCAGAATCAATAATATCACATCAAATAAAGATAATGATTTCATTCTATAAACCCATATTTCGATCCCCAAAAGTTGATTTTGAAACCAAAGATTTCTCTTTCGGTCGTTCTATTTCCAAATTTCGCCTTCAACAAGCGTAGATTTATTTCAAAAAAATTCCTTATTTAAATACTTATTATATCACAAACACAGGATAAATCTGAATTGATTTTTCAAGTTGTACGTGCCTACATGATTGTAATTCGTAAACAGCAACCACATAGACTAAAAGAATAACAGCCAACAGTTCAATACAATAGGCAAATTGAAAAAACAAATAACTCATCTTCCTGCAAGTAAATATGATATGGAGGAAACTGGACTTCAGGTGGAAAGAGAATGGTGGGCAGTGAAGGAGAAAAGGAAGAAACTTGGCCTACTCTTGATGAGTAAAGCAGGGAAAAAGGATGTATTATGCCTGAAGCCTACTTTTTTCAGTATGTCTGAACTTTGCCTGATTGAAGGCAAGGATTGAAAATATAGATTGCCTAACTTTCATTCTCACGATCTTTGGGACATGAGGTCAAACAAATGAAATCGTCTCTCACCTTGATACACAACCAAACAATGAAAAAAGACAGAAATTCAAGAACATACTATCTCTAGGCTGTGAACTTCCAATCAAACATCACTTATTCATTAGTACAAAACATACATACTTTAAACGAAAGTGACGTGGAATTAAGAGAGTGCTCTTAAGCATCCAACCACCACATGCAAGCTTTCCAGTTGGAGATAGATTTCCACAACCAACCTGCAGAAGCTCCAGGGAGAGAATGCGTGTTTTGGTACTAACTTCATCCCTATCTTCCTTCATACCCATCTACAAACACGTAACAAAATTATATCGAAAAAAACTACAAATTAGAATCTGGATTAGAATATAAACAAGATGCTACATACAAACCTTACAGAGGGTGCGGAAAAGAAGTAAAGCATCACGTTGTCCAATATTCATGCTCTCCAGGTCCTTTCCTCTGAGAGAATTCACAAGTTGAAGATGTAAGCACACAGAAGTGGGTTATTGTTTATGTACAGAACAAAACACTTCAAGTTCATATATTTGAAAGATGTATATGATGAACAGACTTCAACTTTTGATATCTGCACTCCATGTCTGACATAGAGCGCATAAATCCTGCTATGGAGCATATTCATAAATTCCTTTTCCAATTATAACAATCTCAATCTTCATTTGGTATCCATACCTTGTGACATTTTCACCATCTTTGTGCAAAGCCTTCTCGAGAACAGCCTCTAAGCCCTGTAAAAGAATGAATTCCATCTCATAATGTACAAATTTTCTAACGCTCATAATAGACAAAAATATGCTAAACACTTTGTAATTCATATAGAGTTTTTTGGCTGTAGCAAAGTGCCTAATCATATGGTACAAGGCAATAACAATATATTTAGCAAAGCACCTTGATATCAGTGCCACCAACAAAGTTTTGCAGTTCATCACCCAGATTCATTCCTTGGTTCTGGTCATTGGATGAGACTTGATCAACTTTTGTGATTGACCCATTGTTCAAAGTAGCTTCTTTACATACAACTGAACTAGAAGCAGAAGCAACCTGAATCACAAGGGAGTGATTATTGAGCATTAAACTGGGTTTCAATCAACTAAATGGCAAGAAACCAAAAATTTCTGAAATGGAACTTCTATTACATACCGTATCAGTTTCCATCCGTCTGAATACGATACTGACCATCTGCGTTAACATGGCTTTTGAAGTTGCTTGGTTTATAGGACTCTTGCTAAACATCGAAAACAGATGCTATTAGCTCCATGAAGTTAAAATCATTCTAACCTGGACAAAGTATCAAATATTACCTATTAAGAGCAATATTGTAACACACCCTGATGACTCCAAGCAATGGTTCACCATGAACTGCATTAGAACAAGGCAAGACAGCACATATAATTAACTTTTTAAATCTGAAAAAATTACATTTGTTCAATAGTGCCTCTGTTCAACATAGATGAAACTTGTTTATAGGAAGTTAAAGAATATTCGAAGTGGCTATTAAATTAAGTTCAGAGACCACAGCAAAGTGATTACTTGGGAAACACCTAAGTCAAGGGATTTGAAGTTCTAAAAGCACAAATTAGAAAAATCAACCATCATTCCACAACACCAACTCTATAATGAAGAAGAAAAAGAAGAAACTTTTTGACAAGTGTAGTTTCTACACTTATTCGAGATCCTAAATGATGATATTTTAGTTTTTTTTTTTTTTTTGGATAATATTATGCGTAA